CGCCTGAGTGACCCTGGAGCCGGCACTGATGGGAAGGCGGAAGCTGACTTTTATTTATCCTGTTGGAGCTGCTTTGGGATCAGTTCTTGCCAGGGCAGGAGCAAACTACAGAGCCAAGGATGGGGAGATCCTCAGCAGTGGTCTGGTAAGTAAGTGCCCGTTAGCCAGGCCAACTGAAAAGGATGTTAAAAGTAGTCCTGGTCATCATAGCATTGGGAGAGGGGAACACGGTACCGAGGAACTCAACAGGACTTGGAGCAGAAACCAAATAAATTCAACTTCAGAATCCCGAAGCCCTCTTTCTAAGAAGGGAGAGGGACCAAATGCATGAGGCTCTGTTGGCCAGGTCTGTGGGTGCTTGGGAAGGTGGAGGCGGGGCCGGTGGGAGCAGTCCCCCTGCACGTTTGTTTATTCTCACCTTCCTCAGTTTCCACATTGTTCCTTATCCCAGAGTTCGAGTCATCCTGGCTTGTGATGGATTCCAGGATCTGGGGAGAAAAAGGAGCACTCCTTGTTTTTCTTGGGGGAGATCTTTAAAACAAATTAGGGTTCAAGTTGGCCGGATGATATTCGATTTCAAGGAGATTTAAAAGGTCACAATTGCAAGGAGAGGAATGATAAGCGCTACCTCCCTCCCCAGCAGAGACACACTTGAAAGAGATTCTTTGAAAAGCTACTGGAGTGGGAAGAGAGACCTCCAAGGGTAGCTTGAATACCAATGTCAACAACAATCGACTGTTGGCTGGTTCTCTGCAGGGGTTTTGTTTTGAGGGTTGTTAAGTTTGAAGACAGGGTGGAGGCGATGGAGAAACTAAGTGGAGGGGGAAGGAAGAAAGAAACCTGGGCACCATCCCCCAGTGTAATTCTCACAGTCCCTGGGACCCCTTGCTTCTTACAAAGCAAGCCCACTGACAAACTCAGGTCTGGGGAATAAAATGCCTGATAAAGGTCATTATGAGTTGGAATCAACTCAGTGGCAGTGGGTAAGGATCCCTGGTGGCACAGTGGTTAAGAACTCGGCTTCTAACTGAGAGATGGACAGTTCGAACCTACCAGTTGCTCTATGGGAGAAAGGTGTGGCAGTTTGCTTCTGTACAAACTTGCTGTGGCTAAGTCGGTTCCAGTTCATAGTGATCCAATACAATCCTGTGGGGCAGGTCTACTCCGTCCTGCGAGGTCACTAGGAGCCAGAATGAACGAGTTTGGTTTGGTTGATTTTAGAAGCGGAGGCCTTTCGAAAGCACTTCTGTGCAGCTTGACTTTACTAAGACTGCCGAAGCGGGAATTCCCCAGCGGGAATAGTACAAAATGTCAGACAGCCATTTCTCCCCCTGGTAGATTTCTCTGCTTTAGTTTCAGATTTATTCGCCTTTGGAGAACCTTACTTCAAACCAATTGCCCCAGACAGGTCTTTGTTTTGTGAATTAATCAAAATAATAATAGCACCCACCCCTGCTGGGAACCAGAGGAAGCCCGAAGCAGGTTTGTCAGCCAGTGAGGTGGGCAGACCTGGGACCAGGCTGCCTCCTAGCGGAGGGTCGCTGTACTTACTTTTGAACTCAGTGAATACATTTAGGTGATGGTAGTTGGAGTTCCGACATATAGTGACCCTGTATAGGGTTTCCGAAGCTGTAAATCTTTACTGGAGCAAAAAGCTTTATTTTTCTCCCTTGGAACCACTGCTGACCATGAGATTAGCAGCCTGGTTCGTAACCACTACACTACCAGAGCTGCGTACAGTTAGGTAGTTGAGGGTTTATGGCGCTCTGGTAGCGTGTTGTTGGTATGTGCCGTGGAGTCGGTTCCGACTCATAGCAACCCTGTTCAGGGATTCCGAGCAAAAAGCCTCACCTTTCTCCTGCGGAACAGCTGGTAGTTTCAAACTGCTGACAGTGAGATTAGAAGGCCGATTGGTAACCACTACTCTACCAGAGCTCCTCAGTGCATCCAAAATAAATTAGTCAAAGTCTTGGAACACAAACCCAGTGCTCTCTAGCTGATCCTAGAAACAGGGTTTCTGAGACTAAATCTTTATTGGAGTAGACATCCTCAACTTTCTCCCTTTGAGCAGCGGGTGCATTTGAACCACTGACCTTGCAGTTAGCTGACTAATGCTTAACCTACAGTGGGATCAGAATTGTACAAGAGCTGAAAGAAAGGTACAGACCCATAGAAACAGATATTCTCCCAGTTTTCCATGGAAGAAACCTGTTGTAATTTTGGGGGTTCATTTTGATATCTCACATAATTTCCCCCTTCACCTCAAGTCTACAGCTCACTTCACTGTTTCAGAGCAAACACAACTCTATCAATAGAGTTGTTATAGTTATAGACGAGAAATAGAACTTATAGAAATAGAACGAGAAATAAAAATAGCACTCTGGATGAGAACTAGAACCTTATCAGCACTTCAGAAGGACTTCTTGGGTCTCTTCTCAATCACTCATTATCCTGTACCCTCCCTCTCAAAGGATTTCGGATCTACTGTTATTTGAGTATTTTCCAGTTTGTGAAAATAACAGATAATGTTGGCATGAACAATCTTGTACATGAATTTTGGCATGCATGTCTTTGCATCTCTACTGAGTCGTAGAGGGGAGGAGCTCTGGTAGCACAACTGTTAAGTGCTAGGCTGCCAACAGAGAAGATAGTGGTCTGAACCCACCCAGAAGTCTGTTCCCATAAAGATTGGTAGTAGTGAATGTGCGTTTCTAATTAGTTTCCAGCTCATAGTGACTCTATATGGAGTTTTGAGGTTGAAAATCTTTATGAAGTAGAAAGTCTCATCTTTCTCTGGTGAAGTGTCTGGTGTATTTGAACTGTTGAACTTGCAGTTAGCAGCCCAACTCAGAACCCACTACACCACCAAGACTCCTTTGCATAAAGATTTTCCTAGACTGGTCTACTTGTCACATGGGGTCGCTATGAGTTGAAGTTGACTTGGTGGGTACCCAACAACAACAACAACAAAGGGCGGGAGTGTGTTCAGTTTTAGTAGCTTCTGCCAGACAGTTTCCCAAAGTGGATGAACTACTCCACACTCTCTCTAGGAGGCAGATGCTTTCTCGATGCTTCACACCCTGCCGCCTCATCCTATGACTTGTTTGTCCTTTTCTGTTGCAGACTCCAGAATCGCTTTATGAATTCCTTCAAGGAAAGCTTCTTCTATGGGCACTTTGGGACAGTAGTGCTTAAATAGTTGTAGTCTCTGGAGCCAGAGGGATTCTTTTAAAACCTAAGTGAGATCCTGGCTGGTTCATTGCTCCAAACCCTCCCATGCTGCCCATCATTCTTACAATAAAATCTCAGTCTGCGCCTCAGCTCCTGGCTTGTTCTGGTTCCTGTCTGCCCCTCCAATCTCGTGCCCATCATCTACGCCCTTGTCTCTGTGCTCCAGCCACATCCATCTGCTTTTCATTCCTTAAACACACACTAAACTCATTTCCTATGATGGGACTTTTGCACTTGCTATTAATTTCTCTGCTGGAAATGTTCCTCCCTAGATTTTTGCATGGGACTCCTTGGCACACCATCTCACTTCAAATATCACCTCTCAATGCCTTCTTGTTGTAGTCATCAAGTTGCTTCCAACTCATAACAACCTCATAGGACAGAGTAGAACAGACCCATAGAGTTTCCAATGTTGTTAACCTTTATGGAAGCAGACTACCACATCTTGCTTCCTCAGAGCCACTGATGGGCTCGAACCACCAGCCTCTTGGTTAGCAGTCGAGCTCTTAACCATGTGTCGCCAGGGTTGACCGGGAAATTTGGAATAAGCAGAAAAAACATGATGTGTTGTTTAGAGCACACATATATATCCTAGTCTTTTTTGCCTTTGAGCTATTTGACATGCTATAAGTTGTAGCGAACCAATGGCAATGCAAATAATTCTCATCTCTGGGCACATGCAAATTAACTGCATGAAGAGAGGTTGAATGGACTTCACTCATTCCTTGTGGAGGATGCCAGTTTTGTCCATCTGCAAATTTATTTCAGTAGTCCTGATCTATAAGTGTGTCTCTTCGATGAGCTCTCCTTAGAACTGGTTATAACATCTGCCCTATTCCCTTATGAATAATGAGTTAAATCTTTAACAACATGTTTCATTTTTTAAATGAGAGTCATGGTGTTTCCTTTTCTGAAAATTATCTTTTTTTTTTTTTTTAATAACCTTTATTGTTTAGAGCAGTTTTAGGCTTAAGGAAAGATGGTACCAAAATGACAAAGTTCCCATATACTACCTCCCCGCTCCATGCAGTTTCTCCTCTCATTGACATCTTTCATTCCTTGTGACACAGTTTTATAATTGATGAATGGATGAACCAATAATCATGTATTATTATTAACTGAAGTGCATAGTTTACATTAGGACTTTTTAAAATTGTTGTATTGTGGTAGAATAGTAGGCACCTTTAAAGCATTTGCCAAGTCAACATTTTTTACAGTGATATTGGGTATTGTTCATTACATGCAACCATACCACTCTGCATTTCCAAATGATTCCACCATGATTGACAGACACTCAATGTCCCTTATGGAGTCCTGCTATGGAGTTGTGGGTTAATGAGCTAGACTGCAAAACTGGTTTGAACCACAAGGTTGGTGGTTCAAGCTCACGAGCTGCTCTTCAGAAACACTATACAGTGTCGCTATGGGTCAGAACCGACTCAATGACACTTAACAGTAACAATAACAACAACAGTGTCCCTTAGGCAAAGACTTCCTCTGCCTTCCTCTCTCCCATCTCTGGTAATTACTAATAAACTTTGGTCTCTATACATTTGCCTGTTGTTGTTGTTAAGTGCTGTTAAGTCGGTTCTAACTCATAGCAACCCCATATAGGGTGGTGATTTTGAACTGCCGACCTTGTGTTTCACAAACCAGTACTTATCCTACAGCACCACACCAGCAGTCCTTTCGTATAAGTAGGATTATACAATATTTGTGTTTTTGTGGCTAATTTATTTCACTCAGCATGATGTTTTCAAGATTCAATCATGTTGTGGTATGGGCCAGGACTTCATTTTTCTTTCTGGTGGAATAACATTCCATTGTATCCATTCGTCTATTGATGGACAGTTAGGTTGGTTCCACTTTTTGGCTGTTGTGGGAGATGTTCCAATGAACCCTAGTGTACAAGTTAGTGTCCATGTTTTCACTTCTGGGTACATACTTACATACCTAGGGCTGGAATTGCTGGGTCATATGGCAGTTCTATGTTTAACTTTTTGAGAAACTACGTAAGCGTTCTCTACAACATCTGTACCATTTTCCATTCTCACCAGGAATGGACGAGGGTTTGGGGCTTACTCTTTGAGCTGTACATCCCTATGAGTTTTGAAAGATGCTTAATGGCATGTGTCATTTAGTACGGATCTCCCCATGTGACGTAGCCCATACCCAGGCAATTATTTGTATTTCCATCAGAGCTTGATCATCAGCGGACACTACTTTGTTTGTCTTTCTTTACTTAGTTAAGGTTGTTCTGTTCCCGTCTTGGTCTCTGCCCATTGCAGGCACTCAGAATCATAGAGACCAAAGTTTGTCTGTGAAAACCAGAACCAGTGTAAGGCGGAACCTGCCAGAGAAGGAAAACGCAAATATTTTCCACCAATAGAGAGGGATGAAGAAGTGGCAAGACAGCGTTCTGTCAAAGGCAGAAAACTCTCAAGACCCAGAAATACAAGGCAGCCCTATCATGTTCCAGCCCTCACAGGTTCCGGCTCTCACAGGTTTATAATGGCTGGGATGAGTGAAGGCAGAGCTGGCAGCAGCTGCTTATCCCACTACACCCTTCCATCCTCTCCTGCAGGGCCATCTGTCTTGCCTGTGCGCTACCTGTGGTGTTTACATGGACCCTGCCCTTCAAGTCAAACAGGGACAGGCCTGACCTGGCACTTGAAGTTTTGACAGGTAAATGAATCATGTTTTGATAGATTGCCTCCAGATCTGGGCATTTCTTCACCAGGCAGACTGATTACCAACCTAGTATGTGACATTTGGTAGCACCGGAAGTGAAAAAAACTTTGTTAATTGTAGCCTTTTATTCGCCAACTAGGAAACAGGATTCCCAGGAGACCAAGTCCTGGTTGGTGGCAGAATTAGAATGTTGTGCCCCAGAGATTAGAATTTGTTTTAATAATTAAAAACCAGCACGTTGTGTGCCAGGCCAGTCTGCAGAGCGCTGTATCTATTAACTCATCCTCCTAACAGCATGGCTTTTAGATGAAGAGACGGAGTTCTGGGGAAGTTAATGGTTTGCCTAAGATCTCACAGCAACCTGTGGGACAGCTCCAGAGCCTATACACACAGCCACTAAACCAAAGAGAAGACACTAGAGGGGAGCACGTATTTACTGAGGAATTATTCCTAACCTAGCTAAGCACAGGCTAAGGGTTTTATATGTGTCTTTTTTTGTTGTTAAACTTTTTATTGTGAATTGGGTAAGGAAATCAGTTTTCCATTTAGCAATTCCTACACGTTTTGTTTCCTCTCATTGATTGCAATCCCCACAATGTAATCATTTCATTTCATCTTCTTGATGTCAATTATTTTCCTGGTTGTTGTCAGATGCTATTAGGTCTGCCTCTGATCCATGGTGACCCCGTGCATAATGAAATGAAATGCAGCTCAGTCCTGTACCATCCCCATGATCGGTTGTGGTCAGACCATAGGGTTTTTTTGTTTTGTTTTAAGTTTTTATTGTGAATTGAGTGATAGTTTACATGGGAGAACATTGGTTTTACGTTTCATTGCAATGATTATAATCTCCTCTGTACATAATCATTCAGCAGTATTTGCTTCCATTCCCTGTTTTTTTGGTTTTTTTTTTTTGGGAGGGTGGGGCATGGGGGAAGGGAGATGTACACAAAAACACTCAGTAATATATAAACATTTAAACAACCAAAGGGCACATCCTGCAGGACTGCCTCCTGGCCGCCAGCACTCAGTCTTTCTCTTTCCATGAGTCTAGAGTCCTCAGCTGCTCTCTCTCTCCATGTCCTCATCTCTGCCTCCTTTTCTGGTGTTGCCGCTTCTCTGGATAGGGTCCCACATTCCACTCTTCTACCTTGTTGGTCCTAGGGTCTTCTGTTTCTGGACTGTAAGATTAACTACTTCCCCTTTTTGTTACAAATGTCTACCTTTACAGTTGTAACAGTCACTATTAGTCATGATAACAATTACTATTGAATCATGAGAATCTTATCCCCATCTCCTTTCACCAGACCCATCTAGACAAGATGAAAACTATTCAGTGGGGATTCTACCTTCCCCCACATACTCCGAAACTTAACACCCCCTTGAAAACTTATAAGCCAGTCACTTCATGCCTTTATAACCCCTTCATTTTAGGTTGCCAATGTCTAAGTTGCCCATCCATATCAACCCTCTGTACAGAGAGGATAGTATTGATACTTGATGTGAAGACTCCTTCCCTCTCAGTTGTTATTTTGAGCTACTACATTCATAAGTATAGGTCCAGTTCATCAAATTATAGCAATTTACACTTGTTTCCATTATCAAAAATAGTTTTTTAAAATCTTTCTTTAGTCGAGTTCTGATCATCAAGCCATCAGGGCTACATACCATAGGGTTTTCATCAGCTGATTTGTGGGCGTAGATTGCTAGATCTTTCTTCCTAGTCCATTGTCTCCAAAGAGCATTTCAAGATCTATCTTGAAGTACAGTGCTGTCTGTGACAGGATAATATGTATACACTTACAAGGAAGATGAGTTAATACCATTTTCATTCAAATTTACACACCAACTAAAGCCAAAGATAACAATAACATTCCAAGGTAGGATGACCTAACAGAATGTGAAAATTATCAAACAATAATAATTAATAGCACACACAAATAAAAGAAGCAAAGATGGTAAGACTTTTCCACCAAAATGCATCTCTCGTACTTTGGACATGTTGCCAGGAGGGACCAGTCCCTGGAGAATGACATCATGCTTGGTAAAGTGGAGGGTCAGTGAAAAAGAGGAAGACCCCCAATAAGATCGAATGAGACAGTGGTATTAATGATGGGCCCAAACATCTTAACAATTGTGAGGATGGCACAGGACTAGATAGTGTTTTGTTCTATTGTGCATAGGGTCGCCAAGAGTCAGAACTAACAGGATGGCATCTAACAACAACAATAACATTCATTATTTTACCCATCATAAACATATTTATCATGTGTTTGTAGATGCCAGGCACCGGATAAGGGGCTGTGGTGCTCTGTTGAAGAAGTTAGGCATAATTTATACATTTTTGTGGATCTTTATATATATATTTTAAAGCTTTTACTGTGAATTGAGTGACAGTTTGCATGGCAGATCATCGGTTTTGCATTCAACCAATAGTATTTTTTTGTGTGGCGCTGTGGGTTAATGCGCCAGACTGCAAAGCTGTTTGAACTGCAAGGTCGGCAGTGCAAACTCACCAGCCATTCCTTGGAAACACTATATAGGGTCCCTATGGGTCAGAACCTACTCAATGACACTTAACAACAACAACAAAAATATTTTGTTTCATTGCAATGATTACAATCCCCTCTATGTACTGTCGGTTAACAGTATTGGCCTCTATTCTCTCAGTTTTTTGTGTTTTTTTTTAATGTACACAAAACCATGCAGGAATATATAATCGTTTAAATAGCACATTTTGCAAAGCCAGTTAAAGGGCACATTTTGCAAAGCCAGCCTCCTGCCCACAGCACACAGCCTTTCTCTTTCCATGAGTCTAGAGTCCTCAGCTGCTCCCTCCCTCCATGTTCTCATCTCTGCCTCCATCTCTGGTGTCGCTGCTTCTCTGGTTAGGATCCCACGTTCTGCTCATACTCTTCCCTCTTGAAGGTCCTAGGGTCCTCTGTTCCTGGACTGTAAGATTAACTACTTCCTCCCTTTTTGTTACACATCTTCTACCTTTACAGTTGTGACAATCACAATTGGTCATGATAACAATTACTCACTATTGAGTCAAAAGAATCCTAGCCCCATCTCCTTTCACCAGACCCATCTAGATAAGATGAAAACTATTTAGTTTTCTACCTTCTCCCCTTGCAATGAAACTAAACTCCCTCTTGAAAACTTGGAAGCTAACCACTTTGTGCCTTTATAGCAACCCCACCACTACCATTTTAGGTATCCAATGTCTAAGTTGCTCGTCCCTATCAACCCTGTGTACTGAGGGGATGATAGGCTTGATCCTTGATGTGAAGACTCTTTCCTGCTCAGTTGGAATTTTGAGCAACTGCTTTCATAAGAAAAAGTCAAGTTTGTTAAATTGTAAAAATTTATATTTGCTTTCTGTATCAAACTTCTTTATCTTTCTGTAGTTGAGTTCTGATCACCAAGCCATACAAACAAGGTCACATGGGTACTATCTGCAAGTTTGAGCGTTCTTGCATGCCTCCCCCAACTTCATATCAGCATCAGGATGCTTCACTCTCAGTTCTAGCACCAGTGGCTAATCAGTGTCCCCAAACTTCAGACCAACCAGCCCTTCTTCTTTCTCTCTCTCATCTCAAGGTCTACAGGAGTCTATGGAGCATGGCCAAACTCAACCCATGTCTTCATTATCGCTTTTCCCCCATTTCCACTCATAAGTAGACCAATGCGGTCACTAGCGAGCTTATAATCCTGCTCATATGTTCCAGTCTTGAAAGGGAATTTGTCCTGGAGGGCCTGGATGGCTCCCTGGTGAACAGCTTGCTTGTTCTTGCAATAGTCATGCAGTCTGCTTTTGTTTTTTTATCCTTCTGGTCTTTCTTTCAAGAAGTATCTTCTGTTCCTCTAGCCACTCCAGGATGGTCTGCTTGTCCTTCCAAGTGGGAATGTTCCATCTCAGAAGGTTCTAAATGGGCCTCAGGATTCCACCTAAGTCCCCATACTCTACAAAGTCTCAACAAGCCTATTGCACTGGGCAAATTCTAGAACCTTTGTAGGTATTCCAATTACTTATAGGCTGAAGACGGGCTTACAAGCTTTCTGTAATCATATTTCCTGGTATTCCTTGCTATCCCATTTAAATGTTGATTTTACAATAGTAGGTAAGGGAGACCAATAGCCATAAGACAATCAAGCACCTTAACATTATTTCCCCTCTTTTACTTATTCAGACTATGCCTCAATCCCTGTATCACAAAGCCCTATTGGTCCAAGGTTGAGCATACATCACTATTAACCTCTATCTCATTTAGCCCATTTGTGGATCTTATAATTTATGTCCTGGGGGAGAGAGAAAGCAGATGTCAGCAGGTCCTCCTCATCATTATCACCCCACCACCATCTTCAACATCACCATCTTCACTATCACCATTTTCATTGTCATCTTCACTGCCATTATCAATCACCACCATCACCATCATCACTGGCATTTTCATCACCTTCAATTCACAGGAACAAGGAACAGAAGTGGGATTCTCTTATTACATCACATGGTTCCCTGTCTCCCTCTGTAAAACACAGTGGTTAGACTTTATGATCACCAGGACCTAACCACTCCAACTAAGGTCCCTAAACCAGCAGTATTGGCATCACCTGGGAGCTCTTAAGAAAGGCTCACTCTCAGGCCCCACCTACGAGCTACTGAGCTCAGCCTCTGCATTTTAATCAGACCTCTGGTTGATTTAGGCACACTGACATTTCAGAAGCCCCACCCTGAGGGTCTGTATTTTCTCCTCTGATGGTCTGTGAACTGTGACTTCTGTGTGGAGAAATGGGTCACTCTCAGTTATGACCATGTAACTTCTACATGTCCCTTTCTAACCATTCCACGGAATGTCTTCTTGTCTGTAGATGAGGTGGAGTGCTTCTCAGACTACATGACCTTGTGGATCCCAAGGAGTCACGTGGAGGGTTTGAGGCAGTGGCTGAGCAGAATACTGCACTTGCCAGGTAAGAGGACAATGGTGGGCTGGGCAGGGCCTTTGTCTAGTTTGGGACTGCTTATGTATATACCTCAGTCCTTCTGTGTTGTCTTTCTTTTTCCTGGCATGTTCTTCCCCATTGTTCAGGGCACTGATTCAATGCCACTTCCCCCAAGAGCTCTTCCTAAGTCTCCGTCTCAAGTACCCCTGCCCACCTCTGGCTACAATCTCAGCCTGTTTCTTCTCAGCTCTCATCCCTACTTCAAAAGAGCTTCTACGATGGTTTGCTTACGTGCTTGCCATCTGTATACTGTCAATAGAAGGCAACTTCCTGCGGGCAAGGCCCACACATTTATTATTACAGAATTTCTAGAACGGGGAGTGCTACCTGGAATTTAGTAGACACGCAACAAATGTTTGTTCAATCAACAAACAGCCTAAAATCTTAGTAGCTTTATCCTTATAAATCACCCAAGAAAAGAAATGGGCAGGAGGAAAAGGGGGCAATTCTTATGTGCCTGAAATGGGAAGGCACTTCAGGCTTGGTGGGGAAATAAACCAGCAAAAAACCAGTTGCTGTTGATTCCAACTCCTGGTGACCCCATGTGTGTCAGGACTGTCCTCCATAGAGGTTTCAGAAGATAATATTTTTCTGGTTGCCAGGCCTTTCACACCTCTGTGTGGACTTGAACCTCCAACCTTCTGGTTAGCAGTCAAGCATATTAACCATTTACACCACCCAGGGACACCAGGGGGTAGTAGTGGTGGGAAATAGCCCACCTAAAACAGCAAAAACAAGGTAATAGTATCACAGAAATCTTCTAGCCATGAACTTTCTAACAGAAAAATTGGGAAAAGATTACCTGAATTCTTTGGGAAGGAACAAGATTAATTATTGTTAGGTGTTGTCACATCAGTTCTGACTCAGTGATTCCGTGAATGAAACACTGTCCACTTCTGCTCCATCTTCACCATGTGGCCTATGTTTGGTCCATTGTTATGGTCACTGTACCAATCCATCTCTTTTTCGCTGACCCTCTGCTTTACCAAGCATAATGTCGTTCTCCAAGGGTGAGTCTATCCTGATGACATGTCCAAAGGTCATGAGACCAAAGCAGAGAGATGTCCAAATTACCCTTCCCCCTCTGCATCTTCCATTGTGGGGGCTGCAGAACAGGTCTTCAGAATTCCTTCCTTCTTTGCCACAGGACGAGAGAATTGAGGAGAGGGGCTTTCTGATCCCTCCCAAGGTCTAGGAGCCATGTTTCCTCTGGAAACTCTTGAAGCACTTACTGAGAGTGGTCTAAGTGTGGTCTGGGAGGCTCAGTGGCTTGATGGCCAGCCAGCCAACCCATGATGCCTTGGGAGCAGCGTTTGAGTATTAAAAGGCTACTTTTCGAGGAGAAATGCTGTAGATACATTAAGCTGTCGCCTGTTCTTTGGAGAGCCATTATTAATGGAAAACAATAGATTAATAGTTTTAAAATGCTTGTTCAATAAGTAATTTTTATGGCTCTGGATAGAGCCCATTAAACATTTCTGTGTGTTATTATAAAGAAGTTTTAAGCGTAAAATCATAAAGTCAATAATCAGAGAATTAGTCACAGCGGCCAGCCTCAGGCCATTAGTTTTAGACCCTGTCAAAGACACCTGTGGCTTTTGCGGGCGAGTTTTCATTTCACGCGGCAGCGCTGGTGGTGCCAGGTGGAGTGAAGAAATGACAGTGCCTGCTGCCTTCCATAAACTTGAGGGGACAGCAAGCAGGTGTAAGCAGCAGGGTGCCAGGCAAATATTTACAAAGTGCAAACGTGAATGCAAAACGAAAATGATCCAGGTCAATTTGCACATCCAGACTGAGACATTTTATTTCCCCAGTGAGAGCCTGCCTCTGCCAGGGGCTCGGTCCCCATCTCTTGCTAAAGATAGACGTGGAAGCTGTGTGCTTTAAAAAGACTGCGCCTCACCGGAGGATCCCCCAAAGAAAGGCTTCCAGAGCAGCCTTCTCAAATAGCATGTTCATCTCCCAGCAAACACACAATGAAGAGTCAAGATTTGAAAATGGAACTGTGAGCTTTGAGAAATGACTTAAAAAAATAATAATCATGACAAAAGCAATACAAGTTCATTATGGAAACTAGCAAAAATCCATAGAAAATCATAAAACCTACTCATGATCCCTCTATCCAGAAATAACACTCTTTATTTTTGACCCATCCAACAAGTATTTATTGAGAGCCCTCTATGAGGGGGCTTCCAAAAGTTCATGGAAACACGGCATGAAAAACGAACGAAATTTTTCCACGAACTTTCGGAAGTCCCCTCATGTATACCAGGTACTGCTCCAGGCACTAAGCAATGAACAAGACAGACCAACACCCTGAACTCCACGGAGCTGACATTTGGGTGAGGGAGGCGAATATAAGCCTCTCAATAAGTGAATATGATGGAAGGTTAAGGAGAACAGCCAGCTGCCATGGAATCAACTCAGACTCAACAAGTTCCTATGTGTCAGAGTAGAACTGTGCCCCACAGGATTTTCAAAGACGGATTTTTTTGAGAGTACATTACCAGATCTTTCTTCAGAGGCACTTCTGGGTGACTCGAATCTTCATCCTTCTGGTTAGCAGCTGAGCATGTTAACTGTTTGCACCAACCAGGTATTCAGGAGAGTAGGTTGGAAGGCAGTAAGTGATATAGAAAAAGAAAACAGCAAAGTAGAATTAGGTACTGTGAACAGGATGGGCCTTGCTGAGAAGATGACACTGAGCTAAGACTTGAAGGAGATGAGAGAAGAACATTCCAGGCAAACAGCACAGCCAGTGCAAAGGCTCTGGGGCAGAAGTGTGCCTGGCAAGCTTGAGACATAGCAGAGAGGCCAACGGGACTGGAGCAGAGTGAGGGAGGTGAAGAGAAGTGGGAGGGAAGGCCAGGGAGGAGAGAGACAAATTGCACGGGACCTTCAAGAACTTTGACTTTTATTCTGAGAACAAATGGGAAGGTTTGAGCAGATGGGGCGCATGATCTGATCTAGTTTTTAATAGGCTCCTGCTGAATAGTAGACAGTTGGATAGTAGACAGTTGGAGCCAAGGGGGAAGCCAGGAGGCAGGAGAAGAGGCAGTTGCAGAAAGCCAGGACAGACTGGGGAGAAGGGTCCAAATTCTGGATACATTTTGAAGGTAGAACCACACATTAGTGCATACCTTTCTAGGCCTTTCTTTATTACATAGCCATATTTTCAGAAGTAATGTTAACATATCAACAACATGCACATACATATAACATGCATAGTGTGCATAGCAAACTAGTGTATGAGGTGGTTGCATGGTTTGCTAAAATCCATGTAACACGCACGTTATTTGCTTAGAAAGATGGTATTTTACCTGCTACAGTTTCTAGGCAGAGCTACTCTAAATACACTGCTATCAAGTCAATTCTGATTCATAGTAACCCTGTAAGTCGTAGTATACAAAGAAACCAGAGGCATTCTTTACAGGAGCAGATAGTCTTATCTTTTACCACAGAGCTTGAATCCCCAACTTTGTGTTTAGCGGCCCAATGCTTATACTACTGCTCTGGCAGGACCCTTTTCTAGGTAGAACAGCCCTTTGATTTATAATTGATTTGTATCAGAAAGCCAGCTTTCTGATTTCACTTGAGGAAGTAGTCTAAGAGGACCCCACCCACATTTCTGTTACAGGGACCTGGAGGACCCCCAGCCGCCTGGATCCTTTTCTTGTTAAATGTGGCTACTTCCTGCACCCAGATCCCAATGGTGACTTCATTTTTCGAGCTCTGTACTCGGCCTGCTTTGTGCAGAAGGAGGTGGGTTTAGGAAACATTTTTTGTAGGGTGACTTGAAGCTGTCTTTTGGAATGCTTCCATTCTGGGTGACAAAGAGAGCTAAGCCTGGGCACAGATGTTAAGTAACGAAGCATTGTACCATCAGTCCTCTGTAGAGACCTACCCCATGCCTGGCACTGAGCTGAGGGAGACAAGGGGGAAAAAGCCCAGGCTGTGTCCTTGTGGAGTTAACAGGTATGCACGGAGCTTGCATCAAAAGCCATGTTAACCCAGTTCAAGTGCTGCATCCTGCAGGCAGTCTTCCTGATAACCCATCACTTCTCTGTGCAATGCACCTGCTGGTATCATTGTACCTGTGCCCTTACTGATAGCGTACCTGCTCACATAACTGTCTTCCAACTAGGTCTGGAGTATTTGCCTATATCTGGAATGCTGAGCTCAGGGCCTGGAACACAGTAGGTGGTCAATAAGTGCTTAATGAAATGAACCAATGGTGCTATGGAGCTCAGCAACAGTGAGTTCCTGCAGAACTGGGACCCTTCTTGCACAAAGCCTTATGTGCTCACAAGAGCTTTGCTCAAACATGACTGACAGTTGACAAACATTTGCTCCTTTGATATTCAGGATAGTCTTGTAAGCTGACATTCTTATTCCCATTTTATAGATGAGCCAGTTAAGGCTCTGAGGAGGTAAGTAACTAAGCCAAAGGCACATGGAATTATTATTATTACTGGAATTACTATTACTGGGACTGGAATCAAGATCAGATCGGATTCCTTCAGGTACTATATGGCCTTGTAAAATTTGCAAAAGCCAGACATTTTATTTTCTGTTTCCTAAAGAGGAACCCCTCTCCCAAATTGCATGAACTCCAGGTTCCACACAACCTCACCCCAGAGAATGCTCAGCCGAGGCAGGAGCCTGGGGAACCGGGGTCCAAGAGGTGAGTCTATGCCAGTCAAAGGGAGTCAAGGGCAGCTGAAGTTTCCTGGGAGGAAGGGCAGACACAGGGGGAGGAGGGGCTCTGATGTTAGCAGGTTGATGACCTGGGGAGCCAGGAAGTTCAACTTCCAGGCACTCTTGCTACTTTAATTCTACTCCCAGCAACTAAGACAGTGTAAACTGCCCCATTAAAAAGATCCAAATCAGTCACTGTTGAGTTAATTCTGATGCACGACGATTTCATGAGACTAGAACTGTGCTCCACAGAGTTTTCAACAGCTGGTTTTTCAAAAGTAGATTTCCAAGCAATTCTTCAGAGGCATCTGGGTGGACTTGAACCCCAAGCTTTCAGTTAGCAGGTGGGTGCTTACCTGTTTGTACTACCAAGAAACAAACACCCCATGGACTCTTCTCCTTTTTCTTTTTCTTCTCAGCTCCATTTCTTCTTTTCTCCTTTCTTGTCATCCTGAGTGGGGTTTTGGCCACTACTGGGGAAGAATTTACAGGAAGGTTTCTATCCATCAAGGAGCCCTGGTGGCACTGTAGGATAAGTGCTGGATTGCTATCTGCAAAGTTAGCAGTACACACCCACCAGCTGCTCCGTGAGAGAAAAATGAAGCTTTCTGCTGCTATAAAGATTTACAGCCTTGGAAACCCTATGCAGGATCACTGTGAGTCAGAATTGACTTGATGGCAATGGATTTGGATGGTATTCAATCACTTCATGTTCTCTTCTTTTCTGCCATCACACCCTTTTCAGGCCCACACCATGAATGAGGTCAGCTCTATATCCTTTGTGGAACTTGTTGGTTTGGCAACTTTGAAGCCTCATGTTTGTACACATGTGAGTTCCAGAAGGAGTCCAACCTGATCTTCATGGAATCCAGTCCCAGGAATGGCCACATACCATGTGCCTTGTTGTTAAGCGCCATTGAAGAGCTTGAACCACCGACCTTGCAGTTCAAATGGCTTTGCAGTCTGGTGCATTAACCCTTGTTGTTGTTGTTAAGTACCGTGGAGTTGGTTCTGACTCATAGTGACCCTGCACAGGATTTCCGAGGCTGCAAATCTTTACGGGAGCAGAAAGCCTCATCTTTCTCCAGCGGAACAGCTGGTAGTTTTGAACTGCTGACCTTGAGGTTAGCAGCCCAATTCGTAACCACTATGCTACCAGGGCTCCTTGTTGTTGTTGTCAGGTGCCATTGAGTCGGAACTGACTCATAGCGACCCCATGCACAGCAGAACGAAACAATGTCCGATCCTGGGCCAACCTCACTATCGCTGCCACACTTAACGCCATCAGTGATGCCACCTGGCCAATCCATCTCATTGGGGGTCTTCCTCTTTTTATCTGACCCTCCACCTTACCCAGCATGACATCCATCTCCAGCGACTGTTCTCTCCGGACAATGTGTCCAAAGTAGGAGAGACAAAGCTTAGACATCTTTGGCCTCCAAGGAGCACTCTGGTTGTACTTCTTCCAAAACAGATCTATTGCTCCTTAGGCTTAGTCAATTTCTCAACTGTCACATCTGTTAAATGGGAAACCTTCCTATGACAGTTATAAGGGAGCAAATGTTTGTCAACTATCATGTGATGTTCGAAAAATCTCTTGTTCTCTCCTATCAGACTCGAACTTCCTGAAGTCTACAAATGCCCCCCAATCTTAAGGACTTCTCTAGTAGGGGAACTGCCACAGCCTAGAATCGGGACCTGTGTTCCGAGTCCCTGTTGGCACAGTTAGTGTTAATCACTTTTGCTGTGAATAGTCACTGACCTATAATTTTGGCCTATTAACTGTATTTCTCTCTTTCATTTGCACATGTGAATTTTGCCATTTCCAGAAAGCAAATTATAGGTTGGAAATCAGAATATTTCAGAAAGGGGTGAGAAGGTTGGAGCAGAGTGATGGCTATGTAATGAAGTGTCCGGTGACAACGGCAAGACTGGGTCAAATGCACATCCACTGCGGACCCACGTTCATCCAGGTAAAGGGCTTGGACATCTGAGGGTCATCCCAGGCGGGGCTTTCTGCATAGGTCAAGGCAGACAGAGGGGTCCCTGAGTCAATAAGTGGCCCCAGCAGGGAGGTGCATGATGGCATTGTTCTGACATTCTCAGCATTTGTTGGATGCCACCAAACTTTCATCAGTAGTGTCTCCTTTCTTCCCCATGGCCAAGTTTGTGGGAAACAAGGAGGCAAGAGGGCTGAGATAGGATGGCAACAATGAAGATGAAAGATCTCTGATCTATTATTCTTTTTTGAGCTTTTTATTATTGCTTGGTTGAAAACTTACAGAGCACATTCATTTTCCATTCAACAATTTATATGGATTTTGTTTTGTGACATTGGTTGTAAACACCCTCAATGTAATAATATTTTCCCACTTCCTACCTGGGCTACCAGTTTCCATTCACCCTTCTTTGTTGCCCCTTTCTGTCTACTGAGCTTTTTTAAAAAAAAGTTTTTATTGTGAATTGAGTGATAGTTTACATGGGGGAACATCAGTTCGTTTTATTGCAATGATTACAATCCCCTGCACGCGTCAATGCTTCATCATTCAACAGTATTGCTTCTATTCCCTCTGGTTTTTTGTTTTGATGTGCACCAAAACATTCAGGAATATACAATCTTTCTGCCAGCACACATCCTCTCTCCCTCCATGAGTCTAGAATCCTCAGCTCTGAGCTTTGTTTTTAGGGAAATGCTGTTATTTTGGTCTCATATGATTGATTGTGAGTGGGTTTATCAGCAAAGCCACAAAATTGTGTCCTATGTTCTTATCTTTCTCTCTGGATTGAAAAAACTTGCTATTTCAAGTACTCGTTCTTGACCCTGGGTAATGTTCAAGAATTATAAACCTTTTGCCATAAAAGGAACTTCTGATCCCATTCAGGTATAATGTCTCAATTTTGAAAATGAGGAAGTTGAGATTTCTCCCCAAGTCCCCAGTGAGCATTTTCAATGCTTTGGGGGTTTTTTGAAGTCAAGTTTCTCTATAGCCCCAGAGCCTCTGTGAGTTGAATGAGGCTTAGTAGGAGACAGCTACAAACTCAACTCCCTGCAGGGACCAAACCCAAATCAGAAATGAGTGGGCAAGACTGGAGGAGATAAAGAATTATATTCAAATTTTTACTTATTTAGCAAACACTTATGTACAACTCTATGTCAGGCACTACTGTAATTACTTCACAGGTATCAACTCATTTCATGTTTATAGCACTCTTAAGCTGTTGTTAGGTACTTTGAGTTGATTCTGAAGTGTTAGAGAGCAAGAAGCAGATCTCTGGGTCTTTTCTTCCATGATACTGCTGGGCAGGCTAGTAATACCTCTGTTTTACAGATAAGCAAATGAATCCAGAGATATTAG